AGCGCAGTCGTTCTACTATCGTTAGAATTTTCCTTTTCTTAAAGGTAACTATCTTAATTTCATATATAAATTTCTATAGAATCTTTAAAAAAGACCTTCCCGTAAGAAAGAAAAGGCTTCCTATCCTATAAGTATCTTCCTTTTTGCGTATGGCATCGCCACTCCCTTTGGGAGCATCCACTAATTCGGAACTTAATTTGAAAGCCATGTTTCGGCCCGGATGTTTTTGGGAGGCCCCTAATAACCAACGAATGGCAAGTGTTTTTCCTTGTGTGGATCCTATCTCAATCGAAACTTGATGAGTCGATCTGCCTACACGTCTTGCTTTTACTGCTATATCGGGAGTTACGCCACGTATGCTTGACGTAAAACAGATCGTGCATTTGTTTCTGTCTTTTGTTGAATCTTTTTCACGGCTCGTTAGACAATTTGATAAGCCAATGATTTTTTCGTGTTTCAGAATATCCAGCATGTCAACTAATCGATTACGATCTTTCTTTTCGTTTTAGTTGTTTAATCTCTCTTTGATTTGTCAATGTGTGAGATCCCGAATCCTCATTACAAATGGAATCGAAATGATCTCTGGATTGATCAGAAGATCCCTTCAATTGGCTAGAATTCTTTCCTTGAACGAAACTAGATCTTGTGGAATCATATTGAATATTTGACGATGTATTCCGTACATTTCTAAAAAAAACTAATCTTTGTTTACCAACCACAAATTGTCTAACCAAATCCAATTCTCTCCACAAATTTCCTTATGAGATTGCCTCCCCACATTTTCCAACAAGAAGTCACTAATGAATCCATAAACTCAACTCACAATCCCATGGCTTAGTTATCCTCTATTTATTTTTTTTCCTTTTCTCCTTGTAGAGCTCTACTCGATGAAGGATCTTCCATAGTCTTAATCCTAGTTGTAGTCGTTGGGCTTTTAACGAATCTTCATAAGAGTAGGGTAACAATAATGTAGATTCCTTTGTATGCACAAAACACTCTCGTTCAAATAATGCTTGAATAGGTGTAAACCGCAGTAACAATCGTCTTCTTCATAAAATTCATAACGCAACATCCACCTGCTTTTCCACCATTAACATAACATCATTTATTTGTGACAACGTCGGTTATAGATGCAAAATAAACATTGACATTCAGAAAATTCCACACACAATTTCTTAACAAATTAAGTAATTAGTACAAAGAAATGCCTGAGTTAACTAAATTCTAATCCCCTAAACTAAAATCAACCTGCATGCAGTAACTAACTAAGACGTGATATTTGGCTCGATTCCATTGGATCAGTCACTGAGAGTTGCTTTCTTGTTATTGGCCTTCCTCTTGCTTGGAGTGCATTTGGGTATGCAGCTGACACAGGAGCAGCTGTCGTCGCTGGTGGTTTCGTCGATAACCATCACCATCGCCATCTTCTTTTTCTCCTTCTTCCTAATCTGCACGACGTATATTAAAGAGGGAGTGATAATTAACTAGAGTACAAACAGGGATTAATTAGGGTTACAAGTAAACCAAGGATTGAAAATTCGTATAGCGGTTCAACCAGAAAACCTTCTTCCGAAAGCGAAACCAACCAGTAGATGATATTTAGCGGTATCATATGATTGAACCACGATTTCAGTATAAAGTACTCTACCGCGCTGACTTTTTCGATACAGTCTCTGGTTCGATATTTCAATCCTCCAAGTAAACTAACAATACAATGATGGGAGATAAAAGGGACATTAGGGAAATAATTAACATTATATTACCTTATCATCACTACGACGACCGTCCTTGATTTGTCTCTTGCCGCATATGAATATAGCGGAGAAGAACGAAATCAGCCTATCAAACACAAAAGATAAGAAAGAGCGTTTTCGCTTTAGGACCTGAACCTGCATTGTCATTTGCATCTTTTCCTGCAAAAAAGCAAGCGATATCTCGAGATGGCAAGCGGCTAGCTAGCTAGAGCTAATAGTAAAGGAAGAAGGGGAAAACCCTAAGCCTGGCTGGATGGACTTACAATCGTACGTTTCGCAAGAAGAAAATTAAGGGATATCTGTTGCTGCGTATTAAGTTTTTCGGATGAGTACTTTTATTTACTTTAATTAGCTTTAATTAGTAGGATTAGGATTCCTTTTCTTGCTCTTCTAAAAGAAAAGGGGGAAATTAAGGTTATTATTACTTATTAGTTTGGTATTATTATTAGGCAAAATACACTTGTGTAGCTAAAACTTTCACGTTTCACGTTTGTGCCATTTATAGCCACTTTTGACGAAATACCACTTATAACGACTTTTTAAAGATGTTGCATGCCAAATATAGCCATTTCCGTTAGAAACTATAACGGTGTTAATAACACCGTCAACTTATTTGACGGTCGACTGACGAGGCGCCAATTCAACTGACACATCAACGACAACTAAGCAAATAGTGACACGTCAAATATTTAAATTATTTATTATTTACACCTCAGAAAAAAATTAATTTTTCTTACCGTTATATTCCTCATCTCAGTCTAGTTCGCACGAGTCACGACCCTTCTTCCCCAACTTTTGGCCGATTTCGAAATTAGGGTTCTTCCACAAATTTTCCGACAATCCTCTTCCCTTTTCTCATCGATTTGGCAATTACTACTCCCCATTCCCCACCAATCCTCTTCCACTCTCTAATCGATTCACGTTCTACACCTCGCGGGCGAGACAGCTCGCCGGTCGGCTCCGATCCCGACAGCTTCCTCATCTTCAAGGAGCAGTATATCCAGCTGTCTTCTTCCTTGGATGGGAACCGATCTTCGATCTATGGCCTCAGGGAACACACCAAGCCCAATTTCAAGTTGAGACCTGGAACGCCGATCTCGCCAACGCGACTCCCTACGTCAATCTGTACGGGTCCCATCTTTTTCTTCCTTCCCCCTCTGTTCTTTCTCTGAAAGACTGAAACCCACGGTTTCTGTAGGGTTTCATCAATGCAAATACGGGTACAAGAACGTGACGGAGCTAGAGGAAGTGATCGCCAGCTACACCAAATCAGGGATTCCTCTGGAAGTGATGTGGACGGATATCGATTACATGGACACTTACAAGGATTTCGTCGTTCTTCATATGAGGAATTTCGTCAACAAGCTTCACCAGATGAAGGATGGAAGCAGATATCTTCATCAAATGAGACGGGTTGCCTTACTCGGGGTCGGTTTCGCCGGGACCCGTTTACTTCCCCGATTTACTGAGCCCAAATGCATCAGATTTCTGGTGGAACGAGATCGAGACGTTTTGCTACATTCTCCACGTCAACGGGATATGGTTAGACTTGAACGAATTGTCGAATTCCATCACCTCACCGCCAACTCCGAATTCGACCCTCGACGACCCTCCATACAAGATCAACAGCGCTGGAAACCAGAGGCCGATCAACAAAAAGGTAGGTGGGTGGGTCAAAATGAGGGGTTTTGGTTTTTTTCTACATTATTTTTTTTAATTAATTATCATCCACGTGGACAAGTAGAGAGAAAAAGGGAAATAAGTGGTGGCCACATAAGCCTCTCTATTTGCCCAGTCACACTTAACGTTAACAACGTTAAAGAATTGGACGGAAATGACTATAAGTGGTATTTTGCCAAAAGTGGCTATAAGTGGCACAAACGATGAAAGTTTTGACTATACAAATGTATTTTGCCTTTTATTATCAAGTAATTATATAATAAAGACTCACAAGTTTGTTGATATAAACAAAGAAATATCAAATACCTAGCTTTACCTAGTGATGGCAATGAGGCGAGGCGAGGCGGGCGGTACCTCAAAATTCATGTCTCATTTCATGCTACTGAGGGTCGGACACGGACGGGAGGGTCTACCCATTTTAACATGTTATATAAAAAAAAATACAAACAAAATTAAACTTTTTACCATCTAGTAAAGGGAAAAACACTTTATCAATGAAAATAGTGATAATAGAATTGAAAATTGAGTCTAACTGGTTGGAAAGATCAAGTCAAACTAGTCGAAGAGAAGTCAAAATAAAAGTAATATGAACAAATACTGTAAGAAATTGAGATAGAATGAGCCAAGAACGAGAAGTCACGAGGCAAGACAGGACGGGTTGGAAGTAGATACCATGCCCCGTCCATGCTGCTATAAGTCGGATAATGCCCACTTCATCGCAGTTCAAATCAGATAATACCCGACGAACCGTTCAAATTGTAATCCCTATTTGCCTAACCAACTCAACCACCACTAACTTGATTCCATGATCCTAATTCCCAACAATAATCATTTTTAACCGAAACAAGTAACAAGATTGCAGACTCTTGAGCTTAAAAGCTCTCGAGTCTCGACTAACGAATAGGATTAATTAATTACATGACTCAAAAACATAATGTAACGACTAAATATAAAACTGATCAAATTTGGATTTCTTCTTGCCAACTTCTAAAGTCATCTTATGTATGAATGGATTCATGTGTATAAATAAAAATAATAAATATATTTATGGATAATTGTGTTGAGTTGGATAGAAATATGAACTCTGTATGCAGCTGTACCACATCGTTTAGAAAGAAGAAAACTTGCGGGCATAAATTTACAATTGTCGTACAGTCATTTCAACAACCCTCTAGACGAAGTGATTGGGCCCATCATGGGTCCAGGAAAGTCCCCGGGCCCTTATCTGCAGAGATGCAGCCCTGGAAACCAGGAGCCCTTCGGGCTTGACGGAGTAGGGCTGAGACGTGTGTGGAGCCCAATGACTCTGACGGCCCGAAGTAATTGGCCGCTTGCAACAGTTATTCACTTGGCTCAAACCCTGAGCTAACTGAACGGGGCTTACGATCTAGAGGGTACCTTTTTATTTGGTATTGGTTTTGTCATTTTGGGCCAAAATTTCAAAAGCCCAATGCGGGAGTCGTCATACTCAGGCCGAAAATATCATTAAAGTCCACAACATCCACGTGGAGCTTTTGCCACCTGTCCGAAATCCCCGCCATGTCATCTCCAATTTCAGCCGTCCATCTCGAGATCAACGGCTGAAAGTCACCCGATGACGACGAAACTCAGCATCCCATTCTCGCTCCGCCGATGGCCACTATCAAGCCCGAAAACCCGACCCGGACTTTGCATAATGTATACTTCTTCTTCCTCCTCCTTGTCGGACTGTTTCTATCTGTCCTTTCCTCCGCCCAATTAATAATCTCACCCCCTTACAGTTTCCTCCATCGCTTGATTCCTTCTCTTTCTCCTGCGTCTCTCCCTAGGTTTTTCCTCTTTCAGTTCTGTTGACGAAAGCGCTGGGCTTTCCCCTTCGCCAGCTGGGTTGAATTGAGGGACCGCGCCATGTTTCTGATCGATTGGTTCTATGGAGTTCTGGCTTCCCTTGGACTGTGGCAGAAGGAAGCGAAGATCTTGTTCCTCGGTCTCGATAATGCCGGGAAGACGACTCTGCTTCACATGTTGAAAGATGAGGTATTCTTTTCCTTACTGGGCTTCGTAATTGTTCTTGTTTTGCTACCGAGATATTTCAATTGAATGAAAAAGGGGTGGATTTTTTAACAAATATGATCGATTTGGGTTCTCGAAATTGTAGCTGAATATGGAATTTTTTACTTTGTAAATTTTGAAGTTCTGATAGGGTTTATATGAATCCATTTTGGTGAATTTTTTGGCAGAGGCTCGTTCAGCACCAGCCGACCCAATACCCGACTTCTGAAGAGCTAAGCATTGGGAAGATCAAGTTCAAAGCTTTTGATTTGGGTGGTCATCAGATTGCTCGTCGAGTCTGGAAAGATTACTATACTCAGGTTTCCCCTGTTTCTTTGTCCAATTCAGCTTAATGAAAAGGAATGATGGGTTCTCGGATTGTAAACTTATCAGTTCACAGCACTAGTGTGTTGTTTGCTGTATTGCAATTCTTCTTGTTCCATGGCTTCTACAATGGTGGTTGTACTTAAAATGTCTGTGCTTATTGATATGCTTCCTAGTTCCTACACTAGCTTAGCGTTCTGATCATCTGATGCTCGAGAGGTGAGTAAACAAGGATCAGTTGGCTAATTTCTTCAGATGAGGCGCATAATTTCTTAGGATGAGGCACCTAACAAGTGACAAGGATTAGGCGTTTTAATCATCTAGTACTTGGGAGGCGGGTAATCAAGAATTAGGCGCTTAATTTCTTCAGACGAGGTGCCTAATTTCATCTTATGACACACCTAACTAGTAACAAGAGTTAGGCGTTTTGATCATCTGATACTTGAGAGGCGAGTATGCAAGAATTAGGCGCGTAACTTATCTGTGTTATTTGTAAAAGTCGTTGGTTATTTCTATGAAACACACAATTAGAATCAGGAAATCGCTGGTTTCTAACTGCTTGTTACATTTTGAAGCTTGAATAAAATAACGAATCTCCCTATTCTTTAAGTATCGAGATGGAGATGAATAGCAATCATACAAGTCTCTAGCATTATAACTCCAGTCATATATGTGTGTACATCATTATTCTAATTTCAAATTCTCTGCTTTTATGAAGGTGGATGCGGTGGTGTACTTGGTAGATGCATTCGACAAGGAAAGATTTGCCGAGTCCAAAAAGGAGCTCGATGCACTCCTCTCAGATGAGTCACTGGCCACCGTCCCATTCCTGATACTCGGGAACAAGATCGACTTACCTTATGCTGCCTCCGAAGATGAGCTTCGCTACCACATGGGGCTCACCAACTTCACAACAGGGAAAGGGAAAGTCAACTTGGCTGACACGAACGTCCGCCCACTCGAGGTGTTCATGTGCAGCATTGTCCGGAAAATGGGGTACGGAGAAGGCTTCAGGTGGATGTCTCAGTACATCAAGTAGGGTTGAGGAGGGTATTTAGTGGAAACAGAGACTGGTTTGGTTTGGTTTGGTTTCTCTGGTTGGTGGTGGAACTTTCTTATACACTTGAATTCGGCTTAGTGTGGTTTCTTTTGTCACTAGACATTGTGGATGGTACTTTCTACGTGTTATTATCTCGTTCCTCATTACGTCTTGTGGTAAACAATGTAACATACACATAAGTTGAATAGAGTTTGGTTTTGCTCTATGTCTGTGTCATATTCCCCAAATATCTGCAGTAGTTGAAGTGATTTGTTCCCCATAATCTTATGCTTCAGATGGTGTAGGCGTCACAGCGGGCTGACACCATCGATCTGCAGCAAATCTCTACTAATGGATGGCACCCATCAATGTAATTTATAGATGAGATCGTTTGACCGTCTGTGGCTATTATCTTTTCCATATATTTGACAGAGGGAAGAGTTTCAGTAGCAAAAGAAAAAGCTGAAAGTTGGTGGCTTACACACACCTAAGTTGGTGTCTTGCCTGTCCAGTTGTCCTTGTATTTTTTACTAGTGTCTTCTTCTTCATCTGCTTCATGTTTCACTTGGTCATACATTCAATCCAAAGTTGCATTTGGTCTCTCAAGTCTCAACCATATGTATATATATATGCTTTCACCCATTTACCTCTCCTCTCACAACATCAAGTGTCTCTTGATCTCTGCCTCCAACAGTAATTATGGCTTCTGCTAACAAATATGTCATCTTTCTTCTTATTTCAATGGCCACACTTTGCTGCAATAAAGGTTGCTGGTCTGCTCTTCTTGCTCAAATCGAATATATGATCTGATCTTCCATTCTGCCTGTTCTTTCTCTTCGATTCAGTTCCATTACAAGGATTTTGTTCAATGTTAAAACAGGGTACGCACAGAATCAACCAGGGGAGTTCATCTCTAAAGCATCCTCCTGTTTCAATGATGAGGTTGTGAATAACATCTCTCTGTTTTTCTTTTACTCCTTCCTGCATCCCAATTCTTTTTTATAATGGCGATGAACTTTTATTGCTAGAACCTGCATCCCAATTCTTGCGCCAGCATATAGGTCCAGATCATAACCACATATCAAAAAGTTGCATTCTTACATCCCTCTCCCATTTCTCTCTTTATCCATTATGAAATTCATTGTTGACAGAAATCCACGTCCTAACGACGCTCATATCAAACGGTACACATCTATACAATCTAGTACGATGCATACATTTAAAAAATCTACATGTGCTCAGCCTATGCGTATCAACGATTTGTCATCAACACTCCAACAACTCCCTAAAACAACATTCTTAAATGATTGTGTTTTCATGTTATTCGTGACAGATATACGGCCGATGCAATCGTGCTTACAGGCTCACCTTGAGCGGGAACATCAACGTTCCTACAGAAGCCACAGACGCTTTCTGTGACGGGCCTTGCTTCGATGAAACCCACCACGTTCTGGACTGTATCAACGACCTATTGTCTGACTTCGTGTTCTTCAATCGAGCCACGGTTAGGGATGTTCGAGCCGTACTCAACTCGGGCTGCAGCTTCACCAGCAACAGAAGAGGTAAAAAGAAATTAATGAAGTTCTTGAGAGCAAGTTTTTTGTTTCTTCTTCTGGTTCCATGAGAAAAAAAAGTCTGCAACTTTACGCATCAACCTTGATCAGGTGACTTCAATGTGCCAAGCTACCTAAGAGATGAAACGAGCGGAGTAGGAAGAGTACAACGCTTAATTGGTTGGAATCTGCTATGGGAGTCTTCTGTTTATATTATTTCACTTGGTGTTCTCTGGGTAATGTAACTAATTTGTAACTTATATTTAACCACTACCAAGAGATTAATTTTCACAATTTCGTGAGATTGATCAATAGTATACGCTTCACGTTATTTCAAATTAATCCATGTGATTTATTTTTTTTAGAAACGCAACCTTATACTATAAAGTTTTAACAAATACCTTTATGCAATTTGTACTATATATAGGTGCATATATTGAAAATGAAGTAGATCACAAGTTGTCATTTATCTTTTTTTTATGAATCGATGTGTTTCATTTCATCAAAAGAAAGTTGCTAACAACTACCCTGTTAGCTAGGTGATTCAAAACAAAAAACAAAAACAAAAAAAAACTGACAACAATCAAAATTTACTATACCACTGAGACAGACAAACAATCGAAATCACCCCAGAAATGAGCAACCCTCTGCCTACCCAAGAAACATTCCGCTTCATATTTAATCATCCTAAGTAGCACAACCGGGGAAATCACCTTTCCAACATACATTCTTCTGCATCTTTCCCGCCAGGCATTGCTCACCCAACTCTGCCATATGATTCTTCTCTCTTCTGCTTCTTCTGTTACAGCACTGAGCTTCAAAACAACCCATCTTACCTCATCATCTCAGCTCTGCATAGGAGGAATGTAGAGCACCCTGCTTAAAAGGGAAACATGAATCTATCTAGAAACAGGGCAATGCACAAAGAGATGGTCCATGTCTTCAACTCCTGCATCACACAAACTACACTTCAAGTCTCCTGTGACACCCCATTTTTGCATTTTCACCTTAGTGTTTATACTATCTCTCACTACCATCCAGCCATGTTAGGATCTTATTTCTTGGTATGCCCCTGCCTTTCCAAAGAATTTTCCACCAACTTGCAGTGCTCCTGACAGGTCGAAGGAGATTACAGACCCTCTTGATAGATAAAAGAGGCATATGAGATCCATCCAATAAGACTTCTTCTCCCCTGAAAGAGATGTAGGAACCTACTCTTTGTCTAAACTTCAGAATCTTCCGCCAGTTCCATGAACCAGAAGAACAAGTGTAAATCCAGAAGCTCCTGCCCTTAAGCTTGAATCTGTGAATCCAGGCTACCCAGATAGATCCTTCTTGCAAAAGTATCAACCAAATGTGGCTTGTCATACAAGCCTGGTTCCAGCATGATAAATCCCTGAACCCCAGACACCCTTCCTTTTTAGGAAACGTAAGATTATGCCAAGCCATATTTGCCTTAAGTTTGACCCCTTCTTTCACACCCCATACAAAGTTGCAGCAAATTTTCTCCACTTTTTTAATAACTGCTTTCGGCAGAAGAAAAACCGACATCCCAAATTGAGTCAGGCTATAAAGAACTGACCCTACCAGCTCAATACGACATGCATAAGTAAGAGACTTGGCCTGCCAACTTCTTACCCTAGCCACAATCTTATCAATCAAAGGTCTACAAGCAGTTAAGCTCAGTTTGCCCGAGATCAGGGGAACCCCTATAGTATCGGACAGGGAAAACTCCCAACTGATAACCAAATCTATCTGCTCTAACCTTCCTTTCACCCTCATCCAAACCACCAAAGAAAATTTCACACTTGCTGGGATTTTATTTGAGGCCAGAAATGCTTTTAAACTTTGATAACACATTCTGCAATTCCTGAATACCAGAGTTTGAAGCATTCGAAAAGACCGGCAGGTCATCAGCAAAGCACAGGTGAGTGAGTGTGACCCCTTTGCACATAGGATGGTATGGAAAATATCCCTCCCTCGCAGACTTATCTATAAGGCAGGAGAAAATTTCCATTGCAATTGAAAACAAGCAGGGAGACGATGGATCTCCCTGCCTAAATCCTTTCTTTGCTGAGAAGTATCCCACTAATCTCCCATTGAAGCATACACTAAGCATAGGTGTCCCCACACACATACGAATCCAGTTCACAAATCTATATGGGAATTTCATGCACCTCAACACTTGAAAAATAAAGCTCCAGTCTACCGAATCAAACGATTTCATCAAATCAATCTTAATAGCACAGCGGGGAGAAACATTTTGGTGGGAATAGCTACTAACTAGTTCATGAGTTAGCAGGATATTCTCTCCGATTAGCCTTCCTTTCACAAAGGTTGTTTGATTTTAACTGATCAGAAAAGGAAGGAGAGAACTAAGCCTATTTGCAATGAGCTTAGAAATACATTTGTATAGGATATTATAGGTCTAGGAATTAAGGAATGAATTGTTGCATTTATAGGTCTAGGAATTCTATCATGTTCAAAGCAGTTCAACATACCTAAGGACCAATGAGAGGCCAGGCATACTAAAAGAAAGCAGCTGAAAATCCATCTGGGCCAAGGCTCTTATCACCCATCCATAGCAAATATCACCTCTTTAATCTGTTCATCCGTGAAAGGTTCACAAAGACCCCTTAGTCTGCTCCTCAGAGAACTTCCTTCGCAGCAAATCATCAAAATACTCATCAGGCTGGACAATAACTTCAATATCCTCAACCCAAAATAACCTTTTATAAAACCTTACTGCAATCTGAGCCATCTCTTCGACATCAGTAATTTTCTCCCCTTCCTCATTCTTCAGCACCCTTATAGTACTTCTACGTTGCTTTACTCTGACTACACGATGAAAGAAAGCCTAGTTCATGTCTACTGTTTTAAGCCAACTCTCTCTAGACTTTTGCTTGTAGAAAATCTCTTCTGCATCTAATAGTGTTCTCAGTTCTAATCCCAACTTGGTTTCAGGGTCAAACAGATCTGTAGATGGAGCAGCAAGAGCATGTTGCTGAATGTCATTAACTTCCCTCTTCTTCATTTTTACTCTTTCAGACAGATCTAAGTACTCCTCTCTATTTAGCCTCCTCAGTAAATTCTTTAAATTCTTCAGTTTCTGACTAACTCTGATCAGTGGGTGACCAGTCACATTACTCCTCCAAGCCTCCTCTAATAGTGAATCAAATTTTGGATGGTTAAGCCAAAACTTGAAAATTTTGAAAGGTTTGGGAATCGACTTCAATTCGGTTGCAGTATCAACATACATGGGGCAATGATCCGAAATACCTGGAGCCTGAAAATGAACCCTGCTTTCTTTAATTGAATCCGACCATGAGAAATTAACCAAAACCCTGTCCAAACGCTTTGCAATAGGATTAGCTGCCTGCTTATTAAGCCAGGTAAACCAAGGCCCAGTAGCCTGATGCTCCTCCAACTCCAGATCATTTATCCAGTCATTGAAGACAGTCATAGGCACATTAGCTCTAGGTGAGTTTGAGGCCTCTGAAGGATGTCTTATGTTATTAAGATCTCCCATTACAATCCAGGGAGCAGTTGTTACTCTAATTCTCTTTAAATAATTGTAAAGAGCTTTTCTCATGTTCTCATCATTAGCTGCATAAACCACTGTCCCGAAAAAAGGTTGAACCCCCCCCCCCCCCCCCCCCCCCCCCCCAATAAACTGCACAAACTGATCAAAAGAGTGTAAAACTGTAAGCGGAACGTCCTTCTTCCTGACCAACCAAATCTTCCTCAAACCAGAGTCATTATGATCTTTGTTTCCCAATCTGGGAAGCGCTTTTCAACTAGTTTGTCTGTCTCAGAGGCTCTTATTCTTGGTTTAAGAACAGCTACTATGTCTATGTTGTATTTGTTTATTTTCTTAAGTAAAGCTATATACTTACTTTCTGCCTTAAGCCCTCTAGTATTCCAGGTAATGATTCTCATTTCTTCCCTCCACCTCTACCACCGTTACCTCCTTTCCTCGGTTGATAGGGGATCAACGGAGAGTCAACCCAAACCCTCTATCCTTTATCTGGAGGCTTAATGTTCTCCTTGTCTTTAGTCATTCCCCTCTGAGCATGCTGGAGCTATAAGTTCTCAGAAATTGGTGACTTTTCAGTCTCAGCAACTTGCTCAGTAGTAGAAGGACTCCCTCCCGCAGGCGGTGATCCCCTAACTACCTGAGCAAAACTCAGAGGAGGGCTCCCAATTGATGAAGGAGCTAGGATTTCAGCGGCCTCAATGGTTAAAACAGACTCCTCAACAGCATTAATATCTGCATCCAACTGATTATCCTTCAGCACCTGAACAACCAACTCTTCCACCAACTCTTCTTTCTCTTTTCCAACATCCTCCACAGCTTCAACAGACCCCCCATTCACAGGATCGGTTTCACCATTCTCAACCAGTCCAGCATCCGCATCAGATGAATTTAGCACTTCCTTCGATACCTCTAGATCCACCCTCTCCTTCTCTAGCCATTCTCGAATAGGCTCCTGAGGGAAACTATGACCAAACAAACAACACTTCGAACAAACTCGTGGAAGCTACAGATACTCCACCCCAATCTCAAAAGCAGGATCGTTATCCGGATACAGTATAATCCGTCGTGGGAAGTCAAAATCAGCTGCCAACTCAATAGACACCTTCGAAAACCCAAACTGATCTCCAACCCTAGTTTTTTTATCAGTCCAAAGAAGCCTCCCCATAGTACTAGCAACCCATTCAATTCCATCTTGCCCCAAATATTCCAAAGGTAACCCCAAGTTGTTATTTATCTCTGTTGAAATTTTTGGTATGCTCTGATACTATGTTGGCTTTTGGGTATTGTTTTTAGGGTAAGTTGGAAAGAAAGAATTTTGGAAATTGTAGGATGGTTGGGAGAGAGCTACGATAGAGAAAATTGTAAAGCAAAGAAAGCTCTTTCATTTCTTTATTTTTGCGTACATCTCACCCTTGTGATCGGTAGCTTATATCACAACTCCATTTGTTTTTGGTAGGGGATTTCTCCACCTCCATATACACTATACAGAGAGCTCTAAGGCTTTATATAGCCTTCTAAATACAAAACATATAACCCTAATAATTTTGGTAGTTGTCCACCACATATGTTTTGTGGTGGTGGCCTTTTTGTTATTTTTTAATATTTAATTACTACTAATCACATTTATTTGTCGAGCACAATAAGTTTAATTTCTAGAGAGCTCTTGTCTCATATCTTCACCAACCATATTCGAGACCACTTATTTGTTTATTATTTTTATTTGTTAATCCTTTGATAATTTCTAAAATTAACTTCATAAATTCAACAATCTCAAATAATGGTAAAAATGAAAAGGAAGTATAAGAAACATATTGTTTACGCTTAAAAATACTTTGTTCCGGATAGCACATTGATGGTTTGGAGCATTTAAATGCTTGTAAGTAAGTCAATCAAACAAATACTAATGAAATCATTAGGTCAGAAGAATGTTGGTTTAATTGTTTTTGTCCATAACTTAAAAACGCCGCAATACCAAACAATAGCGTTCTTCCACCAAAATCGATGTCATGGCCCTAACTACGTGAAAGCATGAGAAACAACATCGTGACAAAGATAATGTTGTTATTTTTTTCCAAGTAATAACAATGGAGAAAAGTTAAAGCCATTATACAAAATCAAAGGAAGCTAACTCTTAAGAGGACAACAACAAGACTTTTTGTGCCACTATATAGGAAGCGCAATCAACAGTTTGTGGAACCACCCTAAAAACTATACAACAAGGAGAAAACTCAATAAATTGACGGCCCTTTCGAAGCAGGGTCCCCCAGATCGAATCCATCAACGACTCCTATCTAAGTTGTCGGATCACCACTTCGGAATCACCTTTCAAGACTTCTTGAGGCCGCAAGTGAAATGACATTTTTAGCAGCAAACAAACTTCGCAAGACAGGAATCAGATATACCCTGGTTTCAACCCCAAGAGCCAGCAATACAATCTCGTTCACACCACGAACAGCAAGGCCAAACGAGCAGCTTTAATGACAACATCAAAGTTAATCTTTATGTATTCTTGAGGCAATCATTCCCACATATATAGTTGGACCCAGATAAGGGGGATGCAATGAGGAGCTGGGGGAGGGCTAAATGGCAGAGGAAACTTTGAGGAATTGAGAAGAGAATTGATGGACGAAAAAACAGGCAAATGGTTGAATGAATTCCAAAACCACTTTATAACGAGATTTTCAGATTCTCCAAAATTGGCGTACACATCGGAGAAAATTGGTTTGGAAGTGGTCAATAAGCATATAACATGACACCACCACTCACTAAAATTCAAAGTTGGTCCGAAGACAAAGCAAATCGTTCAATCCCCACAAAATACTATAGCTTGACGACAATGGAGTAATGGAAGAACATATGTTCAATACTATTTTGAAGTTTCCAAAAACACACATCGAAGAAGAAAGTTTACTCCTTGAGATTGAAGAGCAACCATTGTAGGTAATATACCACCTCAAGCGCTTCCAAAGAAAGAATTTCAACTTAGATGATATTTGGACCATCCAAGTTATTTTCGTGGAGTTTGTGGAGTTGCATTGCTAGCTCGTAATATGGATCTGCCTTGAATAGTATTGTAGATAGCCACGATGACTACTCATTATAGCCCTAGCCACATCGTTGTGGTTCCAACAACATCGCACTAGGGTTGTGGTGTGGATCTTGGAAACCACGGTGGCTCGTGGTTCAGAACCACACGCAGTGCGAACTTTTTCAGCTCATGGTGCACGTTATGGAGCCATGGTGCAACCTTGCGTGCTTTGGCGTCAAATGGGTTTGCGACATTATAAAAAGATGCGATGGTAAATGGATTGATAAAACGGAAAATGAGCACATTAAGAGCAAAAAAAGGAGGGTGTGGTCACAAGCAATGACACCATGGACAGAAACAATCAGGAAGAAACCTGCGGAAACAAACCAAATCTAGTTGCATTGAAAAGAAATACATTTTGCTCCATGGTAGCCCTAGCCACATCATTGTAATCTTACTAATTAACCTTAATTACACACTATTTGTTGTTCAAAAACAAAGAAATACCTAATTACGCTATCTTGAATGAAATCAAACAGTAGCTAAACCTCTCTCTCTCTCGTAATGATCGATTGGGTCACTCTACCATAGAATTGTGACTTATATATACAAGTTTCATATGAAAACCAAAACAAAACTAGTCAATAACCAAACCCTAAACTTCCACTTCAACTACAAAGTTTCATGTTTCATGGTCTCTCTCTGCTTCATCATCTTTCTCTTCCTCGTCTTTGGTCTCCTCCTCGTCCTCCTTACTCGTCGCCGCCTCCTCGTCAGTCGCGCGTCTGTTCAAATCGATTATCCGACGCCGTTTCGTGGCCATAGTATCCACCTCATGAACCTCATCACCATCATTGATCATCGGCATGAAAGGAACGTTAAGGTCGACGCCAAACCCTAGCCTCGGCTCCTGTCGCCAACACTGCTGCCTGTCGGCAGCCGACGCCGACGACGACGACGGCGGCGTCCAGTCAGCACCCACCGGCGGAGGAAACGCACCCCGGAAAGGCCTGTCCGTGTGGATCCTCAAGTGCCCGAAAACCGCCTTCCACGTGGCGAACCTTTTCCCGCACTCGTAGCACGTGGGATCCCTCGACGGCACGTTGGTTATCTCTCTACTACTACTCTTTCGCTTCTCCCTTGGCGGCTGCGACGACGTCGTTTGGCCGTCGAACGCCGCCTGCAGCGCAGCGGCAGCCTCAGCCACGGCCTCCGCCGAAGGTGGAGGATGGGAAGTGGTTGCTTCTATAGACGGCGCCGCCGCCGTGGCTGTGTCCTCCGTTGTGGCCGTCTCCTCGGCCGCCATTTCCGCCACTGGGCTTGCAGCGTCGAAATTTGTAGTACTCTGCATCTTTGTTTTCGCGCCTTGTGATTGGCAAGCAAGTTATATAGAGATTAGAAGGTTCGTCATTAATGGATGTTCATGTACCGTAACTTAATACGATTGGGGAAGCCTAGGAGTGGCTTTTTTTTTTTTTTCTTTCTATTTGGGTGGTTCTTCGTTTTTGTTAAACTGTGAAAGATGGCAACGATTGGATATTGCGCGCCTACAATGATTGAATATTCATGAACTTTAACAAATAAGTATAGGGGTTTATTCTTATATAAAAAAAATTATATGGTTTTGTAGTTATTCAAATATTATCTATTTATATAAATAAATTATTACAATACTGTCATCAAACCCTAATGCTCTCTCGTATTAGTGATTTCTTTAAAGTATGAACGACGTGAATATATTATAGTATAAAACTAGATCAGGGTCCGCCCATTAGTCGGATGAATTTCGTTAATAGTATAAATAACCTTAGTAATTGTCCAAAGCAAGATATGTTTTATTTCATATAATAAAAAAATTAAATCGTTTAGTTAGTGAAATCTTACTCTTATAACTTTTAACATGCCAACCCGAGTTACTAACGGAAGTTCTTACTTAAAGTAAAATAATAAAAAACAAAAGTAATGCAAGGAAATTGACTCCTAAAAATTTAATAAGACAACCGCACTATTTACTACTATATGTCAAGAATTATTGCAAATTTCATTTTGAATTTCTTGTGATGGCTTTGCCTACGCCTCTAAGCAACATCATCTTCACCAATAACAATGTTTTTGTGTTCCTTAGTGAAATCTTTTTCTTCACGATAGGTTTTTTCAATTATATATATATATATATATATATATGGGCAGTTCTAGGGTGCCCAGTGCAAAATCCGGGGTACGGGTAACCGGGGGTAAGGAAAATTACAAAAAGCATCACGAAGCGTTGAAGCTTTTTTCATTGGACTTCAACCTAACTGTACCCGGTTTAATTATATCGATTAAGAGGGTAAACCCTATGAATACGACCCGCCGCCCTAACCAATTTCCAGTCTCTCTTCTACGATCCCTCATTCGTCTTGGAGGGTCCCCTCTTAGTTCGAAGTTCGATCATAAGCTACCTATCAAAGCTTAAATCTCCAACAAAATCATCGTTTCGACACCCAAATCCTTTTATTATTTGATCCACATTTGATTTAGCTCCCTATCCAATCTCAAATCCCCAACATCATCATGTTTCATACCCCAAATCTATGTATCCACATTCGAAGAGAAGATCCCAAATCCTTGTATCAACAAATCGACGTTTTGTTCCACGCCATTTTATTATCGGGCGGAATTTACTCACCTATCACTTTCTAACACGATTACCGCAACCATGTCTATTATTGTGTTCATCAAACTTTTCATTTGCAAAAGAACCCTTGAAAGAGGTTTGCTAACCCTAGGGTTCATGTCGCTAGTGCTTTGTCATCTTGTCTTAGCGTTATTGTCATTTTCTCGAAACTTCTATCACTAGGTGAAATTAAGGTTTCCTGATATGTAGTGTTCGTCTCGCCCAGAGGATTGAGGAAGAAGATGAAGAAGACAGAATTTGATTCGAATCGGATGGAGAGGGCTCCTTAATTTGTGTTTATGTATTAATGATGCGTTTATGACTAATTCTAGTTGGACTGGGTCTGATCATTGATTTTTGCAGGCTTTTAAATAACATTCAAACGTGGGCTTGTACATGACCCATGGCACCTAGTTTGTTGATAATAGATACTGAGTTCCGGATTGTCATTAGGTTTGGGCCTTTGATAATTGTCTATCTCAGTGGCGGTTCTTTGTTTTACTTATTTTCATCTGCTTCTGCTTCTAAAATCCTGATCATGCCTTGAGTTCACACAATTTAAACATAATTATGTGTTCCATCTTTTTTTGGGATTTGGTAAATGCTAGCGTGTCTCTTTACACATTTAGCGGTACGAGGTATACTACAATCCGCCCAATTTAACTCTTCATTAATTGAGATCCGATTCCACTCTCTCACTGATTGCTCCTCTTTATGCAATGCACTCGTACATAACAAACCTCTTGTAGACTAATTAGAGGCTTGTGGTTGGATACTGAGTGAAGATATTTTTTTAATTTATGTTTTGAAACGAAAGTTAGAATTTCACTTTTTAAGTACCTATGTACTTTAGTTGGGCAAGTATTTTCAAAATGTAAAATTTTATCAGCGTATAGGTATACAATTGTTGTATAAGGTGTTGACTTTAAAGGAAATGGGTACTGACTGCTTAGGGTATTAGGTTGTTGATGGTATAGAGTATATGGTATATGGGTAGGTTATAAGGTGTTGATGGTTTAGAGCATATGGTATTGATTGGTTAAAGGGTAAGGGTAGGTGTTGTTTTATTTTTTCTCGATTTTATATTTTCTTTATATCTGCTTATAAATGCTGATCATGCCTTATTACTAAAAAAAACTTAGACATAATTATTGTAGAGTGACACATTTATCGGTACGAGATAAAATGATTTGGTGTGTGCAAGGTAGGTTCCTATTATCTATTTTGCCTTGTTGGTTATCCTTGTTGGTGATCCCGGCCATTAGCGATTCGCCACATATGGAATGAAAATTAGTTAGAGTTATTAAGTTCATCTTTCTTCATTTATTGTTTGATTTGAACCTGCATGTTTTTGCTCCGAAGGATTTAGTAGTGGCGTGGTAAAGACAATCCATCCAATTTAACTCTTCATTAATTCCTCCTTTTCCACTCTCTCACTCCCCCACGAAGCATAAACTATCCACTATGATATATTTACCGTTCATTTTAACCCTTCACTTAATAACAAAGCGATTTTTCACAAGATGATTATAAATGTCATGTAGCTTAATTGGTTAATTGTCCTTTAGTTGCTGAGTTAATAAAGTAGAGATTTCTAGTTTGATACTTAGCGACTATCAATTTTTAATTTATGTTTTGAACAGAAAGTTAGAATTTCAATTTTAAAGTACCTATGTACTTTAGTTGGGAAAGAAAAGTTAATAAACAATAAAATAAAAAAAGAGAATAGTTATCTATGTGGCATTGCTAGAAGAATTCCTAATTTAGCAATCTTGCTAGTTTAGAAAGAACTCCTCCATCCCGAAACCATTGCTAAGTTTTGCCATCTAAGCTCCACCTCATCTTTAGCAATTGCTAAAAGTTAGGGATGGAGATGGTGACAATCAATAAGCAATTTCTAAAGTGCGCCCTTATCGCCCTTAGGGTTTAGGGTTCAGGGTTTAGGATTTAGGGTTACAATAACATATACCAAATCAGTAGATTAATTTTGCTAAACGAAAAAGTTAGTTAATCTACAAAGCCAGTCTAAAAGCACATCCCCATCACTCGCCGTCATTCCTAAACTTTTCCTTTAATCCGATGGTGAAAGATCTTCAATCCTTGCCGCGGCGTGTCACCCAATCAGATTTCGCCGTTTTTGGAAAGTCGCATTTGCCCATAACTAGTGCTGACGTTACCAAGGCCGAGGCAGCGGTAGGGAGTGTGATTTTCAGTAAATGGGAAGGGCTGGAAAGGCAAAGTAATTTTAGGAGTCCATTTATAAATTCTTTAATCGAAGAGACACATAAATAAAACCACACTGCATAAACCAGTAGTCTTCTTATAAACCAATTAGACACAACAATAAAATGACACCGCAGAAGGCAGCAAGCAGTCTTCTTATAAACCAAACGATGCCGCTTCAAGCTGACAGTGGCAGTCTTCACATAATCCTAATCCGAATAGGATAAGGACTTCCATCTTCACTTCAAGTTTTCAAAACTGATCAAATAGTTGCAGCCCTTTTAAACATGTATTCCGAAGAACTCAAGTGTCCAAAACTCTGTTCCTTAGGTTGCTACTTCTGGTAACTGACCTCTTCTGCAAATTCGATAACGACGATTTTAGTCATACAAAAATATTGGATGCAACTGCATTGTGTAGACATGAACGATTATATTTTATTCTTACCCTAGGTTGCTCGTAATCGTCGTCATCGTCATTTTCATCATCGGATGGCCCAGACCCTGTACATGTTCTTGCATTATGATTGGTAGAACCGCACTTACTGCAATGCTTTTGCCTTCCCTTAACCATTGCTAAGTTTTTGCCATCTAAGACCATCTCCATCCCCTTTCATATGCAATTGCTAAAACTTAGGTGGCATGTGTTTGGCAATTGCTAACTCAATTGCAAGGATGTGAAACCAATTGCTAACTTAGCAATCTTGCTAAATAAGCAATTCCACTTGCAATGCCACATAGGATTTTATTTACCTTTTCTATTTTATCTTTATAGTTTAGAAATGTTAGTTTTTTATAATGGAAGAATTGTTTATACATACATAGGATTCCACTAAATAAGCAATGGGATGGAGATGGTAAGGTGTTTATGGTTTATAGCATAAGCCTATAAGGTATTGAAGGTTATGGTATAAGGTCGGTAGCAAGGTGTTGATGGTTTAGAGTATATATGGTATTGATTGGTTAGGGTAAAAGGTGTTATTGTTGTAGAGTATATGGTATTGATTGGTTCAGGTATTAGGGTTCAGGGTGTAGGGTTTAGGGTTTAGCGTTTAGGGTTACAATAACATATACCAAATCAGTAGATTAATTTTGGTAAACGAAAAAGTTAGTTAATCTACAAAGCCAGTCTAAAAGCACATCCCCATCTCCCGCCGTCAATTCCTAAACTTTTCCTTTAATCTGATGGTGAAAGAGCTTCAATCCTTGCCGCGGCGTGTCACCCAATCAGATTTTGCCATTTTCGGAAAGTCACATTTGCCGATAACCAGTGCTGACGTTACCAAGGCAGAGGCAGCGGTAGGGAGTGTGATTTTCATTAAATGGGAAGGGATGGAAAGACAAAGTAATTTTATGAGTCTATTTATAAATTCTTTAATCAGAGAAGGAGAGACCATGCTCCGAAACCCGAGAGGCACTCATCTCCTGCTGTTGTTCGTTCCTCCTCCTCTCAATCCCTGAAAAGACCCCTTTCTCCCATCTTCT